CAATAAATAAATTAACATTATTAATAACATTGATACTTGCTTAAAAAATATAAGTTTTATGAAATTTAACGCAAGCTGAGTGTAATGTCATTTTTAAATAGAATTTTAGCAGATTGTAATATTTCTTCCTTGACAGACAATGATAACCGTTTTGTAATTGAAACATTCTATGTATGTGAGCAATGACTGTTGCTCCGTAACGGCTTATCTGCAAGAAAATATTGACCCTACATCTTGTACATGTACACTGTGTAAAATACAATAAATAAGACCAGGTGGTGGGTTTGGTTCACATATTAATCAACATATACATACAAGGGTAATCACAGGTATATTCAATCTAATAAATTTATCACAATTTGTTGTTTAAAAGGTGTTATATAATTACTGATTTGAAAACAAGTCTACAATTTTTCAAGTTTTTCTTTTTAACAAATCATTTTATGCAAAAATTTACATTTTTAAAACAATATATAATGTAAAATGTGTATTAGAAGCCGCAGCTTCTATTAAAATGATACAATGAAATGGAAGGGATACGACTTCTATTAGAGCATCTACACATATGAGAGATTTGTGAATTTTTGGTTCTCAGTTGTTCAAAAATAATGGGTGCGACTTCTATTAGAAATGCAACTTTTAATACCGATTTTACGGTAGTATTGATCCGATTTCCAAATAATTTACATAAATATGATGTTTTCACCACATTTTGAAATAGACTGTGAATTTTTTACCATAGAAACATGGTGTTTTGTGTGGAAAGTAGTTTTATGATCATTATTTTTATTTGGGTTTTGTAAATAACAGCATTAAATAAAACTACATTGTAAAATTCAAGGAAATCTGTGCATTTATTTTAACATTAATTTTAGCTAGATTAATGCAGAATAAATGTTGAATCGTTTTAAAAAATTAGCTTGATGCAATATTGCATTTTATCAACAATTAAAACCTACAAGAGATTACAATGTAGTACTGTAAAACACTTTATTTTCGCTTGGAATTCATTTTCACTATTTTCGCTGAAGGAATGATGCAGTGAAAATAAAATCCAGCGAATATACCTTTTTTCCTGTATTTTACATTCAACTCTTCAAAAATCAGTGGAAATAAATTTTGTACAAAACACCCAAAATATGAGTATTTTACAGTATTGATAAAAAGGAAGGAAACGTAGCTGTGTTGATGTGATGCAAGAAGTACCGGTAGGTCAATTAGAGTCAAAAAATGAATAAAGTAACATTCATGTAATTCATCTTTTATTTTTTTCTGATATGCAGGAAAACTCACAAAATTATAAGTTGCATTGAGTATTTCACTGGGGTGCTTAGAGGAGGGAATTAACAATTTTACAATCTGTTGCAATCAAAACCAAGGCTTGTACTGTTAACTCAGAGATCCCA